AGGATGTCTTATTTTCGGGGAAACACGGTAGCAGAAGAACTCCAACTAGTAAGTAAGACAAGGTCAGAAGAGTCAGGTGAGTGGTACCAGCATGATCCTATCTTTGGGAAAAGATTCCAGCCAGGAGGTGGACCTCTGTGGTCCAATTTCTAAGAGCAAGAACTAGAAAAGTGTAGGTTTAAGGCAGTTTAGTCCTACTGGGTGAAACAAAATGTTAAATCAGAAATCAAGACTGAAATTCAGTCACCTAAACTGGGCACTCTAAATGAGGAAAAGCAGAGGGGATGCTCACGGTGGCCATTAATGTTCAGGATTCACACTGAGTAGCCAAACATCTAGCTTAGAACATCAAATTTCCAAAACCTGAGGCAAATGGAGTGGCCAATATCCTGCCTGCCATATATATATATAATACATACTAAATTATTGTCTACCATGCAATATCCCATAGAAATGTCATTTATTGCCGAGACCAGTTTGGCTCAATGGATAGAGCGTCGGCTTGGGGACTGAAGGGACCCGGGTTCGATTCCAGTCAAGGGCATGTACCTTTGTTGCGGGCATATCCCCAGTAGGGGGTGTGCAAGAGGCAGCTGATCGATGACTCTCTCTCATCGATGTTTCTGGCTTTCTATCTCTCTCCCTTCCTCTCTGTACAAAATCAATAAAATATATTTTTTTTAAAAAAGAAAAAAAAAAGAAATGTCATTTATTATTAATACTGAAAAATAATTATTGAATATAAATAAATTAGGATTGAATAACATTCACATGGGAGTTCTGAAGGAACTCAAATATGAAAATATCAAACTACAAGCTAAAATATATAATAGCCACTGAGAGAATTCAATAATTTTTCAGTTATTCCTAAAAGAAGGCTCCAGGGGATCTCTAGGAACTATAAACCAGTGAGTAAACAAAAAACATTTCTCATCACAAGTTGAAGATTATTTCATATTAAAAAATAATTTCTAGTCATAAAATTTTATGCAAAGGGAATTCATGCTTCCATAGTTCTTCTGGAGAACAAACATTATGGTGCATTTGAGCTAACATACTGCATGCAGATCATATTTTTTTCATTTCCAAAATGAAAATCTGCAAATGATTAAAGATAAAGACAACTAGAATAATCACTCTCTAAAAATGATACAATAAAAACATTAATTATCTTCTTAGTAAAATAAAGCCAAGAGAAGATGTTACATGTTAATAAAATCATACAGGGTATTGATAACATGAACATAGAATTCTTCAGTAAAACAAAAAGAAATTCCTTAATACTACTCAGAGAAGGTGGTCTGAGAAAAAATAAGAATTAAATTTATAAAATATGTGATAATATAGGGAATTCATTACTCCAATTATCCCAGCTAAGAATGAAAATATAAGCTTATTTCAGAAGTAGAAGGTAAGTGAAGGAACAATCTATCTATCCAGGGTGGTCTGACCCTTCACTGGCATTTCAGACCTCTAAAACAGGAGATGCTACATTCTATGCAACAATACAGGCTGAGCACAACCCTCCATCCCTCTCTGCCAACATGCCAGATACGTGCACAAAGCTCTTGGACTCTCCAGTCCAGACCAACTATTAAATGAAAACCATGCAGAGACCTCTGTCAACACCAAATCAAACTGTGCTTGACCAACAAAATCATGAAATACAATAAATTGGTTGTTGTTTTCATACCAAATTTTGTGTGTCAGAAGCCCCAAGAACACCCACAGTGATTCACTAGGCCTCACAAAACTCAGCATATAGTCAAATTCATGGCTAAAATTTCTTACAGCAAAATACTACAAAGTGGAATAAGCAAAAGGAACAGACATATGGCAGAGTCCAGAGGAAAACAATGTCAACTTCTAAGAGCCCTCTCCCAGTGAAGTTGCTCAAGATGCACTTGAATCCTAAAATGGCACTGAACTGTGACAACCTACGTGAAGTGTTGTCTACTGGAGAAGCTCATTGAAGGCAGTGCCCAAGGGCTTTAATGGAGGCTAGTCACTTAGGTACCCTCTGCCAGACTCCGAGAAAAGCAGGTGCTCATATATATATCACTAGAGGCCTGGTGCATGAAAATCATGCATGGGTGCAGTTCCTAGGCCTGGCCTGCAATTGAAGCACAAGTGTCTGGTATGGAAGGGGAGGTTCCAGCTGACTTCTGGGCCCTGGGCAGCACCTGGGGCCCCAGGACCCCACACACCCCCTTCTGCCTGAGCCACGGCCCCCACGTCCCCATGTGGAGATGCAGTGAGCACAGCAGTCACCATGGGAGAGTGTGGGGGCTTCCACGGCACACGTGCCCTGGTGTCCTGGGGGAGGGTAGCAGGTGGAATGACATCCCGAATTCTCACCACATGTCTGTCCCCCATCTCCAGGTAGCCGGTGAGAGGTCACAGCCCCCACACCCTCCCACAGGTGCCAACAGAGGTTGGCCGCTGCCCCCTGGTGGTCAGCACATGTCATAGTGAGCAATTAAACTCTGGGTCTCCCAGTTGAACTCCCCATCGAATGACCACTCAAGGGACAATTTGCATTATTAGGCTTTTTTTATATAGGATTTGTTTGCACAAATAATTTAAGCACAATGATCCACTCTGACCATTTAGGAAAAGTTTTAGATCTATATCACATGTGTCAAACACAAGGCCCGCGGGCCAAATCCGTCTCGCCAGGCCTTGCAATGTGGCCCGCACCGCGCTGTCATCACTGCACTCCACTGCGTTTCCATCACAATGACAGTTTATGACTGTTCAGTAAACCATTCGGCCCGCGATTTAGGCTGGATTTTAGATTTTGGCCCCTTCTCTGATTGAGTTCGACACCCCTAATCTATATAGAAAACTGTTTACCATTCACACTCACAGATGCCAGCCAAAGGCCATATTTTTAAGCATGTTTGTATCTAAGAAGAGCCAACTCAAATCTATATTAATTGCATTTTGCACATACAGTAAGAGGTAATTGAAACAACAGCCACATGTTATTGTCAAAAACAATGTATTGGGCTACACAAACCACTGGCTGGGACTGACCTAAATGGCATATTTTCTGTTCCTTGGGAAAAAATTAAATTAAAGGTAGTTAAAAGGAATCAGTGTGTAAAACAAATCACACTAAATAGTATTTATTTTTGAGATATGCATAATTGCAAACAACCACAGAGTAAACTTAATATCTGAAAATTAATGGTACATCTGAAGTCTCCTAAAGGTTGGCCTTGATAAGAATTACAGCACTTGAAAAGTAATAACCTAATGATAAGTTGCTACCAGGCAAAAGCAAACTAATGTGCAATGTTATAATGAATCTGTTAAGAATCAGATGATAAAACTTTAAATCTAATAAAGCTTGTCACCAAAAATTATGGTTATCATGAAAACTTATAGTCTGGGGGAAAATATTAACAAAATCAGTATTCTAGAATTTATCTAATTTTAATCACAAATTGGTATTGAAAACATTTAGTGTAAGGAGAAAAAGTCCACTTACATACTTGATCTAGAAATATTTACTCAAGTACTAACAGGAATTATATACTACTATATACAGTCAATCCTCATTATTTATAGATACTGTATTTGTTAATTTACCTACTCACTAAAATTAAATTTTAATTCCAAGATCAATACTCTAGGTTTTACGGTCTCACACACAGAAAAGTGGAAAATTTACATTGCTCAAAGAACAGATTTCTACCTGGCATAGACAAAATTTCTCCATCTCAAAAAAATTATAACTATGTATGGTAATGGGTATTAAATAGACATATTTTGGAGATTATTTTGTAATACATGCAAACATCGAATCATTATGCTATCCACCTAAAACCAATTTAATGTTATATGTCAATTATACCTCAATGAAAAAAATAAAAGGATGATAATTTTTCAATAGATATATAACCTAAACCAGTTTGTCATAGCTCTATGTAGACACAAGAAAAAGTTTTCATGAGAATCTCTTAGCCAGTGAGTGTTGTGTTCCCAACAGTGTTCTGCTTTTGAAATTAGAAATTAAGCTTTAAGGGGAAGTTTTAAAGGCAGTAGAACAGGAAATACAAATATCATTGAAAATAAGTTTATGAAGAAAGTCAGGAGCCTCTACAAACATTTCCATATTCACTTTGGATTTATTCCTAGCAAATGTCAAGAGTCTCCTGTGTAAAATTCCTCTGAGGGAAGAGATTCACTGCTAAATGATGTGGCTGTATTAGAAATCCAGATTAAATGGAGGCCAAGTTAATGGGCTTGCATTACAATTATTTCATTCCTTAATTAGATAAATGTGAAGTTCACAAATAATTATGTATTTGCGGGGAAAAAACTATATATTTTTTCTGTAAAGAAAGCAATATTTGAATTTTAACATGTTAAACACTCAGCCTGGTCTGTCTTCTGGACAAAAAGTATAGTGTCAGTCACTGTGATTGACATGGGGCTTAATGAGTTAATTCTGATTTGTGTTTTCTTTCTGTCATTTTTTCTCATGCATATGGAGCAAAATTTTTATACTATTACAGAAAATTTCATCAACAAATTGAAGGAAAAATCATATGCTTATAATAAATACAAAAAAGTATTTCATAAAAATTCAGTAATTCCTAATAAGAACACAGTGACTTAGTTACCAAATAAAAGTATTTAAACATAATAATTCTTAATAAAACATTAATACATAAAGAAATATTCTTTAGACTTTTCTAATTAAATGTCTGAGAAACTCTTAATAAAGCAAAATGCCTAAACTATGATATGGTTAGGCAGTGGGAATTGAGAAAGAAGGACAAATTTGAAATTTTCTACACATATATCTCAAACCTATGCCCCTTTACACACACACACACACACACACACACACACACACACACACGCAGAAGCATGCACATATCTATGTATACATTTACCTATACAAAAGCCATAAAATGATATGTATTCCCTTACAAACAACATATATAATATACATAATAATACATTTGTCTTTATTCTATGTTTACCTGTTTGGGCAATCGGAACAAGGAATTCTTATAGAAAATATCCTTAGCCTGGCTCCATGTACCATCGATGATGATGATTGTGGAAGGATAAGTAGGAGAATCTAATATAAACTCTTCCAAATTAGCAGCTTCAGCCCCTGGATATAATATTAATGTACCAGACTTCCGACAAACAGTTGAAAGTTCAGGATCTCTAAAAAAAAAAAAAAAAAAAAAAAAATGTTTTTTTAATCTTTATTACTTTGTGGGGTAACAAAAAGTTTTATTATTCTTATTGAAATTCATTCCAAAATATATATCAAAGCATTTTTGGACTGAAGATATATAAAAAGATAGCCTCCATCTACTCTACAGGAAACAAAACAAGCTTGAGGGGAAAGGAGACAAATTAAAGAGTCAATTAAAGACAATAAATGGCATCTTCAAACCAGTAAAAGGCATCTACAAAAATGTATGGCCAATTTCATATTTGACAATGTTCTTTGAGATTGGGATCAAGGTAAAGATGTTGGCTTTCACCCCCACTCCTAATAATGTTATACTGAAGGTCCCAATTATTGCAATAAGGCAAGGAAAAAAAGGCATAAAAATTTTGAAAGAAGTATAAACAACCCTATTTGCAATGCTAATGCCACTTACACAGAAAGTCCTAGAGAACCTACAAAACAATTTCTTCAACTAACAAATGAACTTACAAAGTCACTGCATATAGGGTTGATACACAAAACACAACTGTTAAAAAAAAAACAACACTAAAGAAACCCCAAAAGTTTTCTTATACAATAGAGGCAAAAAAGTTAAAAAAAAAATAAGTATTTTTAACTTCTATTTATAAAGGATACCAAAAGTAATGCCTCATAATCATTCCTCTATGCTTATATCACATATTCTAGGAAAAGTTTAAATTGATATTACCAGAGTAATATTAAATCAATAATTTTAATGAGCTTTAAAATCCATCAGTGAATAACAATTTACTGAGTAAGCACTATATTAGGCACCATGGAAAAAACTGAACTACTTAATATAATGGACTCAAAATGAGATAAGCTATTTGTAAAAGTGTCAAGCTTCTTATCCTCAAGCACATTCATAGAGGGGGTTACATAGCCAAAATGTCAGAGATGGTCCAATAGTTTCCATTTCTACCACCATAGGTGCTCATCACTTTTGCAATAAAATAACCTAGATTCAAGCTGAGAGATTATGTAGGATCCTATTCCACCTATATATCCACATCCACCCACGAATTATAGAGGAACTATCATAAAGAGCCTCTGTGTGAAAGAAGTGTCACAGTGTAAATGATGTTGCTGTTCCTCATGTGATAAGCTCTGGATCTTGCTTCCATTCCCAGCAAAACAGCAAAATTCCCAACAGCAGCACCGCGCACAGAGCAAATTTCTCCTCTGTGGGCAAGGCTATGCAAAAACTACAACACAAACCTCTATATGAGAAAGCGTGTCTAACAGTTTCAGAGAAAATAAAAATATTGTTATTTAAAGTTCTAATATGATGTTATTTTCACTATATGAAGCTAACTTATAAAGGAAGCTAAAATAATTAAGGAAAAAGCTTGGCCAATTCCCTGGGCTTCATGTTAGTACAAGTGTCACTTAGCATTTTTCTAAGTGACCTGAAAATGAAATCTCTATATTTTCATGAGAAATTAAAATTTCCATCAAAAGATATATTTAATTGTGTAGACAGAATCAAAGTAATTTGAAGGCTTTGTGAATGGGCAGAAAAGCAACACAGATGATTCAAAGGTATAAAAAGACTTGTATAAAATTTAAATATACTGTATATAGCATATAACATATATTTATAATTATTTATGTAATACAATATAAAATAAGATCCAAGAACATTATAGATCTGTCAATAAGATATCACCTAATGATAGCTGTACATAAAAATACTACAATACAAACTTCTATATGAGAAAAGTGTGTCTAAATAAGTTTCAGAGAAAAGAAAAATATTATTAAAGTTCTAATATGACGTTATTTTTAATATATGAAGCTAAATTATAAAGGAAGCTAAAATAATTAAGGAAAAAGCTTAATTAACATCAAAAAGAACATTTTTAAAATATTTTTTTATTTCAGAGGGGAAGGGAGAGGGATAAAGAGATAGAAACATCAATGAGAGAGAAACATCAGCTATTTCTTATACACCCCCTACTGGGGACTGAGCCCTCAACCCAAGCATGTGCCCTGACCAGGAACTGACCCATGATACCCTGGTTCACAGGTTGATGCTCAATCACTGAGCAGCATCTGCCAGGCAAAAAATAACAGTTTAAACAGGACAAGAGATTGTGTTTTATAGTTAAAAAAAGTAAATGATGTGCCTATAACTAGGATACTAAATATAGTTCTAATCACTGTATGTTAGAAAAGTCTTAATGAGCTAGAAATGGATAGATATGTATTTACTTATTTACATGTATCTCATACATAATGTAAAAAAATAAAAATATGGAACTAAACCATCTAAACTAAAATGAAATAAACAGTAAATATGTCTTTTGGTTCAATATATATTAATATGCAATTTGAATAATGCTATCATTCCTTTGTTTATTCCATTTTGGTCTGTTTTAGAGAAGTGTTTTTATATTTTGCTTTATCTTGTATAATTTTGAGAGAAAAGGCAGAATTTAATTTTTTTACCACTTCCATTGTACCACATTCTGGGTCTAAAGAGTAAGTTTAAAGAAATCATTTTTAAAGATCTATGGAGAAAAATCATTTTAAGTTGCCCTAAAAGTTAATTTACCTTTCTTCACTAAAACGACGACCAATCTTGACTTTACACTTGTCCTGGGGGAGGCATGCTGCTAGTAGAGGAACTGTCCGCAACACTTTGCTTTCCTTTAATTAAAAAATTAATTAAACTGTAGATTTTTACTTAGCCAAACACACTTTGAACATTTCACTCCTAACATTATACAGAATTTTCACAAGTCTTTTACTGCAGACCACAGTTTAATAAAAAGAACTACCATTTTTCTGCTTTATCTGTAGTAAATCTACTACAAGTATACATTTTTATTTTACTTGGTTATATTTAAAGGTTTATTGGTCAAAACAAGATAATATTAAATCATAGTTAAAATTGTGAAAAATATAAATTTGTGCTTAACTAAATTGAATCATTTATTCTGACAAACTTTTTATTCCTTTAGTAATTACCTGAAGATAACTGCCTAGATCTTTATGCTCAGAAAGCAAGGAAGATTTCAAAAAAACAAAATGATGGAGGATATCAATGACACATAGAAGCCAATCTTAAGAGCTCCCAATGGCCAAAATGGAACAATATGAGCAACAAAATAAGTTAACATAGCATTTGAATTATAACCCAAAGTATAAAATAGGAGTCCAGATTTATATAAGTAAATAAATGGAATAAAAGAAATAGGAGAATTCCAACTAATAATGTAAATACTTCCCACTGCAGGAGGTAGAACTTAATCTCTCCCTCCCACTTATGGGCTGAATTTATGGCCTTACTTCGAAAAATAGTGAGTATAGAAATGGAAGAAAAATATCTTTTAAAGTGGAAAAATCTGGGGACCATATTTATAAATCCCATTATCACAAGTGGTTTTTTTAATGTCCTAGCATCTAACACTAAAAAACCTTTCTTGTTGTCACAGGAATTCTATCCTTAATCCCAGCAGAGCCAGGTGATTAGCTATTCTGCATTAGCCTGCATTTATCTTGGTGATTTTGATCCATAGTGCTCAGTCATTCCTTGGCACCTCGGTTCCAACTGGGAATGTCATGCTTGATTGAATATATAACACAGCCCCTTTCTAATCAGTGTACCTACATACAATCCAATATTATCTTTATCAGTTTATATAATCCTGCTTATACAGATCCTTGCAGTGAATAATTTGATGATCTTTGTGTATGTAAAATAATGAAATATTATTTATTTTACTTTGGGAATATCATTTACCTAGCAAATTAATACACAAAACAATAATGTTACATATGAATTTACTAAAATAATTAAAAATAAATATTTATAATTATTTGTTAACACAAATAAAAAGTGTTGCATTTCTCCTCACCCCCCTATAGCTATGCTGGATCACAGCTGCAGACACAAGCCCATCTTCCACATGATGGGGTTTGTTAAAGTTGTCAAAACTAAGGCCTACTTCAAGAGATACTAAGTGAGATTTAGGACATGATGAGTGATTCCTGGATAAACTCGGTAATCTAGGATAAAAATAAATACAACACACCCAAATACAGGATGACAGTTCAGGTAACAAACAGACACATCATTTGTCAGACTGCTTATGCCTATCTGAAAGAAGATGTGATAGTTGTGTAGCTTATGCTCATAAACTCCCAAAGTATGGGGTGCAGGTTGGCCTGACAAATTATGCTGCAGCACATTGTACAGGCCTGCTGCTGGCCTGCAGGCTTCCCATAGGTTTTGCCTGGACAGGATCTGTGAGGGCTAAATGCAGGTGTCAGAGACGAATACAATGTGGAAAGCACTGATGGCAAACCTGGTGCCTTCTCCTGCTATTTTAGTGCAGAGCTTGCCAGAACTAATACTAGAAATAAAGTTTTGGATCCCTAAAGGAAGCTGTGGAAAGAGATTGGTCTATCCCTCTCAGTTCCAAATGATTCCCTGCTTATGATTTAGAGAGCAAAGAAATCAATGCACGAGTACATTAGAAGCACATCATGGGTCAGAACATTGCAGAATATAAGCATTATCTAATAGAAGAAGATGAAGATGCTTATAAGAAACAATTATCTCATACATAAAAAAACACATAACTCCAGACATGATGGAGGTGAAATATAAGAAAGTTCATGCTGCTATACAAGAGAAACCAGTCTATGAGAAGAAGCCTAAGAAAGAAGTTAAAAATAAGAGGTGGAACCGTCTCAAATGTCTCTTGCCCAGAAGAAAGATCAGGTAGCTCAGAAGAAGGCAAGCTTCCTCAGAACTCAGGAATGGGTTGCTAAGAGCTAATAAACCAAGTCATAATTTTCTATAAAGATTTTCAGATACAGACAATAATATATTTATTGATTAAACAGCAAAACAAAAGTACTATTGTAAAAGTATTCACCATTCTTCACCACCACACACACACACACACACACACACACACCTGTTGGGGACATTTTTGTGTGTATTTTCTCCCCTGGTTTCCTGAATTATTAAAATAATAAATTATTATCAAAAAATAAATTTAAAGATGCTGAGAGTAGCTAAATTCATCTACCTAATAAAAAGTAGAAAAAGAAAATAGGAAATTAAATATTTGCTGGGATTTTTTTCAAGAACGTAGCAAGCTGGGGTTCTAAGGAAACATGAAAACAGCAATTTGGAGCAGTTAATAATATAAATGCAACTCAGAGGAGACAGGTGAGAGAGGGCATTTTAGGACATTTTGTGTGTTTCATACTGTTTTCTTACCTCTAATCTAGATCATCAGTAGACTTTGACACACACTAAAATCACTTTTCAAACTTTTGACATTTACGTCAAATTGAAAAGTGCCAAAAATTTATAATATTCTCCAATTACTTCCCTATACCACTTCCAGAGGCAATCACTTTGTTTAAGTTATATCTTTTAGTATTGATCTCTATATTTCTAAATAATGTTTTGCTATGTTTTGCTGTCATATTAATAATTTATCAATTATCTACAAACTACCATTATCATCCTAATAGCTAACTTTAATGTATATAATCAAAATGCATTTTATAAATATATTACTACTAAAGGCCTGGTGCACAAAATTCATGCACGGGGTAAGGGGGTTTCTCTCAGCCCAGCTTGCACCTTCTCCAATTGGGACCCCTCGAGGGATGTCCAATAGTAAAATTGGGCCTAAATGGGCAGTCGGACATCCCTCTCACAATCCAGGACTGCTGGCTCCTAACTGCTCGCTTACCTGCCTTCCTGATTGCCCCAACCGCTTCTGCCTGCCAGCCTAATCACCCCCTCACCACTCCCCTGATAGCCTGATTGATGCCTAATTGCTGCCCTGCTAGCCTGTTTGCCCCAACTGCGCTCCCCTGTAGACCTGGTCCCCCCAATTGCTCTCCCCTGCAGGCCTGGGTCACCCCAAACTTCCCTCCTCTGCCGCCTGGTCCCCCCTAACTTCCCTCCCCTGCAGGCTTGATGGCCCCCAACTGCCCTCCCTTGCAGGACTGGTTCCTCCCAACTGCCCTCCCCTGCTGGCCATCTTGTGGTGGCCATCTTGTGTTCACCTGAGGGCAAGCCATCTTGTGTGTTGGAGTGATGGTCAGTTTGCATATCACTCTTTTACCCCCCCAAAATGCCTTCCAAATTTATGTTTCATGTCTAGACTCTTTAATAATTTACATGCAGCCCTTCTCCAGATTCCTGGACCCTTCTAGATGCTGAACAAGACCCCTAGCAGGATTTGATTCCCAATCAGGGAACATACAAGAGGCAACTGATCAATGTTTCTCTCTCACACTGATATTTCTCTCTCTCTCTCTTTCCCCCTCCTCTCTCAAAAATTAATAAACATATCACCAAGTGAGGATAAATAAATTTTTTAAAAGGCTATTATATAATAAGAAACAAAGAAGGACCCAGAAATTCTACTTCTAGGTATTTATCTGAAAAAAAAAAAAAAAGCACTAAATTGAAAAGACATATACATTTATGTTTATTGTGGCATTACTTACAACAGCCAAGATATGGAAGCAACCTAAATGTTCATCAATAGATGAATAGATAAAGATGTGGCTCATATACATAATGAATGAAATATGACTCAGCCTAAAAAAGGACTTCTTTCCCTGGCTGGTTTCTCAGTGGTTAGAGTGACAGCCCATGGACCAAAGGGTTGGGGATTCAATTTCCAAGAAAAGGGCATATTGGTTGCAGGTTTGATCATGCCCCAGGCATGTGGGAGGCAAACAATTACTATATCTCTCACGTCGATGTCTCTCTCTCTCCCTCTCTTTTGCTCCTTCCTCCCTTCTACTTTCTCTAAAAATCAAATGAAACAATATCTTCATGTGAGGGTTTTTAAAAAAAGAACATCTTGCCATCTGCAAAACACAAGCAGGAGTAGGGAAGTCTGGCCACAGGCTATATAAGGCCCACAAAATCATTTGGTCTGGCCCTGCCAAGGCATTAAGGATGAGCTAATTCAATGTTTGACCAAATATTTTTAAATTTTAAAAAAATATATTTTATTGATTTTTTACAGAGAGTAAAAGAGAGGGATAGAGAGTTAGAAACATTGATGAGAGAGAAACATCTATCAGCTGCCTCCTGCACACCTCCTATTGGGGATGTGCCCACAACCAAGGTACATGCCCTTGTCCAAAATCGAACTGGGATTTTTCAGTCTACACACCAACGCTCTATCCACTGAGCCAAAGCGGTTAGGGCCAAATATTTTTAAAGTGATAATTTTGTATGGCCCACAAATGATATTATGAATATCCAAATGGCACTTAGCAGGAAAAATGTTCTCCACCCCTGACCCAGAAGATACTGTGATGAGTGAAATGTCAGACAGAAAAACAAATGCCATCTGATTTCACTTATATGTAGAATCTAAAAAACAAAATACACAAACAAACAAAACAAAAACAAACACAGATACAGAGAACATTTTGATGACTGCCAGATGGAGGGGGTTAGGGAGATAGATGAAAAGGGGGAAAAAGATTAAGAAGTACAAATTGGTAGTTACAAAATAGTCATGGGGATGTAAAGCATAGCATATTGTAATAACTATGTATGGTACCAGGTGTTTACTAGTTTTATTGGGATGATTACTTTATAAGTAATAAATAAATTTATTACTATAAATAAATAAATGTCACTATATTGTATAAATGATACTAATATAAAATTGTATGTCAACTTTAACTGAAAAATCAAAATTAATAAAAACAAAAAAATAAAATAATTTGCTGAGAGGTACTTCTATTTTAACAAGACATCAATGAATATAAACTATAATCAAAATTTAAATAGCAATGATTTTCCTCTTTTCTCACAAAAATCTCATTTTTTCCTTCACACAATATTGTTGAAGTTCTAAATTTCTATACTATTCAATGACACAGTTTTTATGAAATAAAATTATTTTCTCCATCTCCAAAGCATACAATATACTACCATATAATATATAAAAGAAACTATTTTTTCCCAAAGAGAAAGTATTTATTGTCGATTTATTTCCAGAAATGCTAAGCACCTGGGAAGAATGAATAGGTTCATCTGTGTGTTTCCTCTTGTATACTAATATTCTATTTGAAATTGTGCATTTTATGAAGTCTCACTCACCTCTGCCGGATGCTGAATTATGTACAAGTGGGTAGAGATGTGCAGAGGATGCATTGGTAGAAACGGACATAAACACACTTTCTGAGGCCGGCTAAAGGGCATAAAGAAAAAGAAAGCCTGTAAATGTTTAAAATAAAATATGACAATAACCTAAAACTTGAACATAACCCAACCTTTTTATTTTTTAATCCTCACTGGAGTATTTTTTTTTTCATTGATTCTAGAGAGAGAAGAAGAGAGGGAGAGAAGGAAAGAGGGAAACTGAGAAAGAGAGAAACATCAATGTGAGAGAGAAACACCCAAGCAGGCATCAAACCCAAAACCTAGATATGTGCCCTGACTGGAATTATAGCCCATAACAACTTAAATATCTGTACACAGGATGAGGCTTCAAAAACTGATAAACACTGGCCAAGACTAAAGTTGCATTCTTTTAAAAATGAACCCCTAAGAATGAATTTAATCACCTAGACTTTACATATGAGAATTTGAAAAAAAGATTCTAGTAAATTCTTTATCATCTATTAGGTCAAAGTTCCTCCAAAAAATATTTTCTTAGATATCTGTAGTTGAACAATACTCATAAATCAGCAGCACAGACTTTTTATTCATGAAGCAACACTTCTACTAACTTGCATTCTAAATCAAGAACAGATCTCGCCAAAACCGGTTTGGCTCAATGGATAGAGCGTTGGCTTGGGGACTGAAGGGTCCCGGGTTCGATTCAAGGGCATGTACCTTGGTTGTGGGCATATCCCCAGTAGGGGGTGTGCAAGAGGCAGCTGATCGATGACACTCTCTCATCGATGTTTCTAGCTCTCTATCTCTCTCCTTTCCTCTTTGTACAAAATCATAAAATCTATTAAAAAAAAAAAAAAAAAAAAAAAGGAACAGATCTCATATCAAAGAGAAACTTGGCAACTTTTCTACATCACCTGGAAGTTGGAGGGAACAATATGATGATAAAGTATTAGAACGGTATTACCACCTAAAAGAGAGTTCTGATCAAATTTAGACATCAATCAACACAGAAAGCTTAATAAATGTGAGAAACCCAAACAGCAGCCACCAAATTATATTTGGCTAGAATTATATCATGGCAGAGTGTCTGCCTATTTTCCCTTTTGCTGTTTACTTTGTTGTTCTTGTTTTACTTACTTTTTAGTGCTTTACTACTGTCTCAGTAACACTTATACTCATTACAAAATGCATAAGAAATAAAAAGGTACACTTCCGATCTGAGCCCTCTAGCTTAGAGCATTCTCTTCTCTAGGGGTAACCAATGACCAGAAACTTGTGTGTCCTTCCAAAGAAATTGTAGAAACATACATGGATATTTTACCAGTAAACCCTACATTTGATATGTGTGTTTACCAGTATATCAGTGTATCTTGGAAATAAATTTTCACAGTAGAACACTATTACAGACAGGTGTTATATGACATTACAATAGTGTACAAGTGAAAGTGATATTAAAGGGAATTCGAGCAGCATACTAATTGCTACAAAACTAAGCACTATCAACTCCCTCAGTAATCTTGCTTATGCAGAGGTATAGCCTGAGGTAAAAAAATGTTTATGCCAATAAACAGAGTGTGAGTAAATTGGTTCAATTATATCTACCATCTCATTCTGCAAGAAACTGTCAAACCTATACTCCTGCTGAAAAAATTATCTACATGATAATCTTAGGCAGAAATATAATCATATTTTACAACATGACCCCACTCACATCTCCACCATCAAAACTAAAATGGATGACTAACCAAAGGAAAACCAATATACTTGCTTTCCAATGACATACAAAATGATTTGGTATGATTACTCTGCCCTACACTGGATTCTCTCCCAGGAATGTGAGATTTTAGGAATGGAGTCATTCTGTGGTCACAAGAAGAGTAAACAAAAGTAAACCCAGAAAGAAACAGAGAATGACTGAATAAACTAGGTATACTGACCAGCATATCAAGGGGTACAATTAGAAAGAATTCTTCATTTGGTAGAATAAAAAATGATGCACATTTCACTTCTAAAACTTTAAGCTTCTGACTTTATTTATTATTTCTGTAATCCTCACCCAAGAATCTTATTGATTTTAGAGAGGAAGGAGGGGGGTATGCTGGGAGGGAAGGAAGGAGAGAGAAGCACCAATGTGAGAGATAAAAGCCAATCAGTATGTTACCCAACCAGGGATGGAATCCACAACCTCGCTATGACCTCATGGGGAATCAAACCCACAATCATTCAGTGTATAGGACAATGCTCCAACCAACTGAGCCACCCAGCCAGGGATAAGTATCTAACTCTTTTATATTTAACTCTGTATATGACTGAAATGCACAGATGTCAGTAAAATTGTTTTATAAAATGTAATTTCAGATCAGATGAAGCCATTTTAAAAATTCATAATTTAATTTACTAACAACTTAAATATCTAAGAATACAAAAGAATGCTCCCCCCACAAAAAACAAAACACACAACTGTCCTATGCAGGAAACATCCACATATCAATAGAGCCAAAAAACTGCAAGTTTCAATCAAGTAAACATGCTAGGAGTAAGCTTCAGATTTCTATGAGTAGCAGAAACTAGGTAAACATGCCCTAAAAATAACATCTTTAGCTCATGATATAAACAATGATTTTAAAAGTCCTTAATATGACAGAATAGTGCAAAGACTTCCCTGATATTGGTAGTTCTGGGTTTCATGTCTGGCCAAAACCTCTGTTCAGAAGAGAAAAAAACAAAAACAAAAAACAATTCAGTTTCTTGAGATGGTGATTTCCTTACTAGAAGTCATTTTGAACTTTAGGAATATTTGGAATTAAGATATTTGGAGAGTTCCACTTCCAGGATGACAGAGAAAGTTGTTTAACAGACTCACTTGACAGAGAAAACTATTTTTCTTGCAAGCAAAAACTACTTTTAAAAACAAACACTTAAAGTCTAGAAATCGCCCTGATGACATCCTATCTAATAAAATAGTAACATGCAAATTGACTCTCACTCCAACACACAAGATGGCTGCCACCATGTGGTCAAAGATCCTGCCCCCATGTGGACACAAGATGGCTACCACAAGATGGCCAGCAGGGGAGAGCAGTTGTGAGAGACCAGGCCTGCAAGGGAGGGCAGTTGTGGGCAATCAGGCCAGCAGGGGAGAGCAGTTGTGAGAGACCAGGCCTGCAAGGGAGGGCAGTTGTGGGCAATCAGGCCAGCAGGGGAGGGCAGTTGGGAGGGACCAGGCCTGCAAGGGAGGGCAATTGGGGGGGACTGGGCCTACAGAGGAGGGCAGTTGAGATGACCAGGCTGGCAGGGGAAGTCTGTTAGGGGCAAAGAGGCTGGCAGGGGAGCAGTTAGGCATCAATCAGGCTGGTAGGAGAATGATTACGGGGTGATCAGGCTGGCAGGCAGAAGCGGTTAGGGGCAATCAGGAAGGCAGGCAGATGAGCAGTTGGGAGCCAGCAGTCCTGGATTGTGAGAGAGATGTCCCAGATTGGAGAGGGTGCAGGCTGGGCTGAAGGACACACACTCCTGTGCACGAATTTCATGCACCAGGCCTCAAGTATTTGAATATAGAAATATTATTCAAGAATATCTACTAAAATTTGGTATAGGCGAAACCTATAAGGGTTCTAGTTGCCCATCATGACCAGAGATGATGTTGAATCTTTATGGTGCGTTTATTAATCAGATAGCTGGCAATCTGAGAGAGCAGCAGGTGTAACACTCTGAAAAGACCACTCTGACCCTTCATTTCAAACAAGCTCATAGAGGGTTAGTGGATGGGGAGAAATCTAAAGTTAGTGAGTTCCTACCCTAGGGTCTGCCTTCTTTCATTGTCCTTGCAAAGAGTAGCCCCTGGAAGCTGTCTCCCTTCAGAGAGATTCTGTCATTGATCTGAGCTCCTGGCTATCTTATCCTTAGGGTTTGTTCTTCTTATAATAAGTTGCGCAGTTTCCCAGGGTCTGTAAGAAAATCTCTTCACAGTGAGTAGCTATGAAACAACTGTGATTCAACTTCCCCTCCCCTATCCCAGGGACAGTTTATGGCATCTGGGCCATAACACATTTCCTACCTTGCCCCAGCTCAGGTTGGCAGAAGCTCCATTCCAAGAAGGTGTGGCCAAGAGAACAGAGCTCTCTCTCTCAGCTCTTAATCAAACTTTACTATATGTCACAGAAAAAGGCAGGTCATCAACTAAGTTAAAGAGGCTAAAGGCCCCTGGGGTGCTCAGCCCCAGCCTGGTGCCCTGATTTTTAAACCACAGACCTAAGGTCAGGGCAGGAAGAAAGCAGGAAGGAACTTCGCTGGGCCACTTCAAAGAATCTCAGCTGTGACATTTGGGGCCGGGCGGTCCCGCCCCACAAACCCAACTTCCCCTCTAAGCCCTGAAGTGAAATCCGCACCGGTTACCCCCACATGGAGCTGCTGCCCAGAAGCCCTCCTCCCCCAAAAGCAAAATTATTAAAAAATAACCTCAAGAACTGGACCCTATCTGACCCAGGCTTCCCAGGAACCGAGGCTGCTGCAGGTACTGCTGGGCCAGCTGAGATGCACTGCTGCCCACAGCACCTCCGCTCGATGCAGTTTCAAGGCTTCTCCTTGATCATGTTGGGTTCTGATTTTGTTTCCTTGATTGTAAACTAATTTTTTCCTCTTTGGGACAAGAACCCCAATTTTATAATATATTTTATTTTTTTTTAAATCAATCTTTATTGTTCATATTATTACAAAGGTTCCTCATTTCTTCCCCCCTCCACCAGGTTCCCACCCCACCCTCCGCCCCCTCCCCATCCCCCATTGTCCTCATCCATAGGTGCACAGTTTATGTTCGGTCTCTTCCTCCCTCCCTTTCCCCGATAGTAAATCCCTTTTCAGACAGTAAATCTGTTATGCCAATTTTCTAATATATTTTATTGATTTTTTTTTTTTTAATAGAAGAAGGGAGAGGGATAGAGTTAGAAACATCAATGAGAGAGAAACATTGATCAGCTGCCTCCTGCACACCTCCTACTGGGGATGTGCCCGCAACCAAGGTACATGCCCTTGACCGGAATTAAACCTGGGACCTTTCAGTCCACAGGCCGA